TTGTTCATCTTCCCCGTGCAGAGGGAAGTGTTCATGATGGAATTTTTAAAAATAATGTTTATACTCTATTGAACAAATGGAAATTTGACCAGTAGAGGTTCTTGGGGTATAGATAGTTTCAGAAGTATATATATATATTCTTTGTTTATCCATTCATTTATCCATGATTACATTTCATCATCTATCCTGCCTACATAGTTTGAAAAAATTTATCACTAAGATTACCATTTTGGGGAGAATCCAAATGCAAAAATCTGGAGTAGGCCGACAGACAGACACACCCCAGGCCCCGTGTTAGACGTGAGAATGTGGTACAGATGGATCAGAGAGCCTGACACAGCAAATCTATTAACAAACAAAAGGATTCGAGGACTAGTAAGTGCTGTGGGCGAACAAGTAAGCGGTTGGCAGAAAGGGCGGAGGTGGTGGTGCGTGGGCGTCGCTGGGGCCGAGGCTCCGGTGGTCGGGGCGCTGGTGCTCACGGCGGGAGGAGCATTGCAGGCGGGGACTGGTTTCCTCCGTGGCGTACGCTTGTGTCGAACGATCATGGGCCTCCGGGACGGACTCTCCTGCAGCTTCAGGGGATGAGGTTCCCGCTCACGAGTCACAGAGAAGGGGCAGGCGTGTGGGATCGGAGGAAAACCTGAAAAGGAGAAAGGAAGGGAGGGCTGTGTTAACACTCCTTCGGAGCATCAGCTGTCCGCGCCAGGCTGAGTCCAGCACGTTGCACTGGGATGAGAAATTGTTCCTGGAGAGCTCGATCTAACCGTGGTGGTGTCAGCTGAATAGCTCTCTTGCTCCGTCATTTATTCATTAGGGCCGAAGTCCCAGAAGGAGCCGCGTGATCAGCTTGCTGTCTTGCCTACGCAGACACGTCTTTTTTTTTTTTTTAGATTTTTTTTTATTTATTTGACAGAGAGAGAGCGAGAGAGAGAGCACAAGCAGGGGGAGTGGGAGAGGGAGAAGCAGGCTTCCCGCTGAGCAGGGAGCCCGATGCGGGACTCGATCCCAGGACCGTGGGATCATGACCTGAGCCGAAGCAGACGCTTAACGACTGAGCCACCCAGGCGCCCCCGCAGACACGTCTTTATGGGGTTTATCCGGTGGAAACCAAGGTGCTTGTATAACCTGGACATCTCAGGTCACCTTCTTTTTGGGAACGTAGCCCCAGAGGGTCTTTCTTACTCCCAAAAGAACGAGATTTGCTTGTTCTGATGACACTTGTAGGGCTATGGGTTTTTATGCCTGGGGTTGTAAAGGGGAACCTACGTGTTGAAGTTAGTTCTTAGGCACGTCTTGTTAGCGCCACGCAATGCTTTAGCTAGAATAATCACCATAATTGCTAACATGAAGATTTGGGGAGATTTCGAAGAAAGAATCAGCAAAATCTGGGTTTCTGACTTCTCCCTAAAAGCGAGAGAAATGGCCGTGCTGAGCAGACCTCCCTGCAGAGCCGCAGGGACTGGCTGGGGAGCAGCTTGGTCCTCAGACAGGACACACACCTCCCAGAGGGCCGCGGCCCCCACCCTGAGACCCTCGGCCCCACCGCGGTGGCTCCCGTTTCTGGCACCTGCTGTGGTTCCACTGCCCCCAGGTGGGAGACCGTCGTGAACATCCGGGCCCGGCCCCCGGGCACATTTCAGTTTGCAAGCCCTCCACTATGCATCTCCATTCCGCCCGACCATCTGTGTTGCCCGTGCTTGGCGTCTGGGGTGATGCAGTGGGGTGTTGTCCTTGTCTGAAGTCCGGTGATACGGGATAGCAGGCCGTCTGCGGACCCCAAGCCCCTTCTCCCACAGACTCTCGCTAGCTTGGGGGGCTTCCTGTGCGAACAAGACCACCATCCCTTTACGCTCTCAGCCTTTCTGCCCAGAACGATGGTGGCCGATAGTGAATGGGGATGATAGGGAAGGATTTACCATCCACAGCGTTGATTGGATGAAGATGTGGGTTGTGAAGCAGATTCCGCACCTGTCCTTGGCACGTCGGATGGCATTCCCTTTTCTGACCCCACCCCGCCCCGCCCGCCCCAGATGAATAACAAATCAATGATGTTTCCCTCTTCAAAATGAATAGCCTACATTTTAGGGGGGGAAAAAGCATGGTAGAAATGGAAATGAGTATTTTTGATTTTGACATTCCAGAGTCTCCGTATTGCATCCACTTCTGGTGGACATTGGCTAAAGTCACATGTCTCCATGTCTTAAGCTTTTAAAGGAATGCATGTCCAAACACTTGAATAAAACAGAAATATAAAGGAATAGAAATCTTATGTCTTCCATGCAGTTGCTCAGTTTCCTTGCCCCTAAAATACGGCTGTCCATTTCTAGGCTATCCATGCAGAATCTCTCTCTCTCCCTTTCCATCCTTCCCTTCCCCCTTGCAGGCTGAACAGCTGTGTTTTCCACAAATAGCTGATACTAACACATTTTCTCTCACCTTGATTTTTTGACAATACAGCTTGAGGAACATTTCACATCAGGACACGTGCATCAGCTTTGTCCTAATTACATCCTGGTCCATTATTGTAGGTGCTCCATCCTTAGTACCTGGTCTCTCTGCTGATGAGCATTATCTTTGTTCACTGCTCTCTGTACTATAAAAAAAAAATCCTGCAACAAATACCCCTGTGCGTAGCTCTCTGATCCCATGTGTGAGCCTATCGCTAGCACAAACTTCCAGGAGCTGAATTACTAGATCAAAGTGCACTTGAAATGTGTATCATCATTGCGGTATTGCCCTCCAGAAAGGCTGCACCTTCCACCAAAAACGTGGTAGAATTCGCCAACTTAGTACTTCTAACTGTTCGTCAGTCAGCTGGCTGAGCTGGGACAGGCAAGCTCACTGAGTTTAAGCATGCCTCTAAAAATTATTCGCAACGTTGAACGTCTTTTCATATATTTAAAAATAATTTTCATTCCTTTTTCTTTGAACTGCCTGTTGATGTCCTTTGCCCCAATGTTCTATTGTTGGTTTAAATTTTAATAGTGGGAGTTTTAATGAATACAATAAATTTAATACATTTCTTTAAAAAGAAATCAGTACATTTCTGTCCCATGTATTACATAAACATCACTCCCCAATTCGATTTAGCTTGATTTATTTTTATGTGTGGAAATATTTTAAAAATTCACATAGATGTATCACCTGGTTTCCTCAGAAGCTTTTATGTTTTATTTTTATTACATTTAAGTTTTTTTTAATTTAATTTTTTTTAAAGATTTTATTCATTTGAGAGATAGAGCGAGCACAAGCAGAGGGAGTGGGAGAGGGAGAAGCAGGCTCCCTGCCGAGCAGGGAGCCCGACGCAGGGCTCGATCCCAGGACCCTGGGACCATGACCTGAGCCGAAGGCAGACGCTCAACGACTGAGCCCCCCAGGCGGCCCTTAGAGACCACTTTTATCATAAGCTAGTTTCACGTGTGCGTGGCGATATTTACAGGTCTTTTCCACCGAGCTGTCTATTCGTACGCAGTGCCAGATCCTCTTTGTAGTTGTGACCTCGTGACAGGTCTCAATGTGTGTGAGGTCCGGGTCCCCCGCCCCCGCTGCTCTCCCCGTGCAGGTTTGTGGGTTATTCTTGCTTGTTTCCTTTTCTTGATAAGCTCCAAAATGAGCTTTCCCTCACACAAAATCTCTCAGCATGTTTACAATGAATTTCCTCATGTTTATATATGAATTCAAGGGTTGGTTGACATTTTTATGATTTTGAGTTCTCTTTTCCAAAAACAGGTTACAAAATTCTTCATTATTCAAGGGTGCTCGTCCATCCCTCGGTATTATTTTATTGTTTTCTTTGTGAGAATTTTGTATGGTTCTCATTCTTTTGCACTTAAATGTCTTCCCTTTGTGGGCTGTATTTACAAAAGAGAACTTTTCTTCCGTTCTGTTTTCGCGTTATCGTTTGAATACAGGGAAGCTGTTTACTTTCGCGGGTCACATCTGTATAAACCTCCTTACTCACTTCTTTCCTGGGGGGTAACAGGGCTTCATTGTACCAAATTCTTTCCTTATTTGTAAGGATGTTTCCTTTTTTCATTCTCATTGTGAGGCATACCTCATTTGAAAATAATGGTCGTATTATCTCCTCTTTAAACATTTTTTTACGATGAATAACACAGAGACAACTTCATTAATTTTTACTTCTCTACGATCTGGCAGACCCTTCGGGCGGTTGATGATTATGCCGTCACCTGGACCACTATGTCCAATTCTGGGAACTAATCACAGAGAGCTAATTGGGGAGCAGATTGGAGCCAGGCGAGGGGCTGAGTGCGTGGGGAGGCGGTGCCCCCCAGGACTATCCCCCAGACCCCACCACGGAGCCTGGATAGGAGCAAATACATGAAATAGTTCATGGGGTATTAAGTAGGACGAGCAGAGTAGGACAGGGCGTATCTGCACGAAATCCTGTCTGCTCAAAGTACAAGGGTCGTAAAGAAATCCTGAAGTGGTTACATTTAGTATGTTGGAAGCAGGGCGAGAGCAGAAACACCAGGGGCCGTCTTGGGGAGACTTGGAGTGAGCCTTGCCCCTCAAACCCAGCCGGTGAGGCGATTTCTGAGGAAGCATCGGCCTCTCGTGTCTACAAATAGGCAAACAATATAATTACCTGACAGGTTATTGTTACAATAAAACAAGGAGGTGTTTGTTAAGAGCCTTACATGAGGTCAGTGATATTGGTGCTGGTTTCCTCCTCTTTTTAAATCATTTTAAGCTTATTTCTTTCCCTTGCCTGATTGCATCAGGTGTGTCGTCTAAAACAGTATAAAGCAATAACGGGATAGTGGCCGTTCTTGCCTTTCTTCTGACCCGAAAGGACACGCTTCTTGTGTGGCCCCATTATGCCTAGAGCGTGTATTGAATTTATTCAGATTCCTCCTCAGCGAATCCCACAGTCGCTGTGGTGTTGCTCCTCCCTCCGCTCACCGTGTGGAGGGTCAGCGGCTCTTCCGTCCAGATGGCGATTTAACATGTTTATTCTTTTCTTCCCCCCCCAGGGTTTGAGGTCTTGGCTTCTGCTTCCCATTACTGGCCGCTGGAAAATGTGGATGGGATCCATGAGCTTCAGGACACAACTGGAGGTAGACATGGGTGGTGAGAGACCCCGAGGCCGCAGGAACGGGAGATGCGGGGTCGGGGGCTGTCGGGGGACACGGGCGTGGACACCGTCCACTTTGAAGCCAGGAGATTAGTGGAGATTAGGACACGTTGGGGAGCTTCCCCCTAGTCACTGTTCACCCAAAGTATTTTATTTACTAGAACCTTGATATATTTTTATCATGGAAGGACAGAACTTGTGGTTCAAAATATCATTAACGTGTGTGCCTTCCCCCCAACAACCTTAAAGCAAAAGCAGCTGTTTGAAGCTTGAAGCTGCAGATGGTGGGTCAGTCTGCCTACGAGTCTAGATGTACGTTTTCTAGACAGACCAAACTGGCATCATCTGCATGCCTGCCAAAACGGGGGCCATTTGAGCCGAGTGCCGAAGGGCATGCCAACCAGCACTGCTGTGCACGTTCGTGGGGTCGCCGGTTCATTCAGCAGGGGTACCCCGCCGACCGATCGGCCTCTGCACACGTCACTGGCAGCTCTCTCGAAAAGACCGAACAGCACCCAAGATGCTCCCAAGCTCCCTAAGTCCACGGAAAATACAGCCTCTATGTGGCCAGATTCAGACATTTGCCGTAAGGAGAAACCCCAGATGCCCCCGAGCACTTTCTCCCATTCCAGTAAAGAAGCATTCCCCGTACAAGTTTTGAGTGCCTTGGGATGCTTTTACATTTTAATTTTATTTCCTTGTTGCTCTTTTTTTTTTTTTTAAGATTTTATTTATTTATTTGAGAGAGATAGAATGAGACAGAGCACATGAGAAGGGGGAGGGTCAGAGGGAGAAGCAGACTCCCCGCTGAGCAGGGAGCCCGATGCGGGACTCGATCCCGGGGCTTCAGGATCATGACCTGAGCCGAAGGCAGTCGCCTAACCAACTGAGCCACCCAGGCGCCCTTCCCTGTTGCTCTTGGGTAAGTCACATGGCCGTGACCTAGGCAGCAAGGTGGTTGCAACCATCCCCGCACAAGCTCACGTCAGGTCTCTCTGTTCTGTGCGCTGGAGTTTTTATAAAACACCCCCACACTGCTGACTACTGGCTTTCCACACCAGCACACTGGCATTTTCCTTACCTAAGGAAATCACCGCCTAAGATTCTAAAATGTTTCCCTTAAAATCTGTAAACCGAGAAGCATTCTGGCTGGACTCTGGGCCACCGGTGTCCTCAGAGTGGGGGCCGCCAGGGAGCAGGGACCTCCGGGAGGGTGGAAGGACCCACCTGTGCAAGACCAGCCCGGGGGCCGTCAGCTTGCCCTCCTGCCTGCCTGCGCATGGCGTGGGGCATGGCGGCCACACGGGAGACCCTCCTGGAGCTCTGTGTTTTCTCGGAATGGTCTGCACCACAGGGGTGTAAGCTCCCTGTGGAGCTCATTGCATGACCAGCTCGCGTGAAAATGGACTGCTTCCCACCCCCCCGTTACAATCTCATCTCTCTTCTCAGGGCCTTTATTTTAAAGCCTGTGAAAAGAGACCATCCCACCAAGTGGAAACGCATTGTCGACATAATTCCTTGTTCAGGACACAGAAACTAACCCTTTAGTAGTTATTTCAAACAGTAGCTCAGATACTTCTGTTCCTCTCCTAACCCCTCGACACGGCTCACCGCTGTGATCAAACCAGGAACGTTGGGTGTCTTGAGCATCTGCCCCTGTGGGGGGTTCTTGTAAAGTCCTGTCATCACCAAGACACAATAGGTCGCGGCTGAATTTTGTTGACCGACACGTTAACTTCCCGAGAACTCAGCGTGTTCGTGGGTGTCCCAGAACACGTGAATGGTGATGGTGTCACTGCAGCCCCTGGATCTGTTCTTCATGTGACGATGCCCGGCTGGCTCATTTCGGTTCCATCTCAGGCTTCTCCAGGGACAGAGAGAGGAGGGTCCGTCGGCACCATTTGCTGCTGGGGACAGTTGAATGGCTTTGGCAGCCATCGGGTGCTCGTGCAGCTGTGTTATTTGTCGCTGAATCCTCTGTCGTTGTGTCCACGTGTCGTGATACTGTGCCGTCGCCTCCATGCTGTGTCCCCGGCTCATCAGTCGTGACGTCACCACCACGAACCCTCTCGTTAAGGCCATTTTACGGCTGAGCTCAGTTCCATATCTCTCAACCAAGTGTCCGAGGGCGCTGGACGCGGCACATCGGAGCCCACGTTTGTGGCGAGAGCCAGCAGCCGTCCGCCCTGGCTCTGGGACTGGGGGGCCAGGGCGTCGGCCACGGTGGCGTCCAGCGCGTGGGAGGGCAGGGGGTGTTGGGGGGGAGGCGAGGTTGGGAGAGAGAATCCAAGATGCTTGCCGGGTGAAAGACCGCTTCTCGGTGCGCGTCAGGTTGAGAGATATGCCGGTTCCATTCGTCGCTCATGTCACTCATTTGTTGTGCTTTTTCTTTTGTCGTCCCACCTAGTGTTGCGAACCCACAACCTCACTGTGCTTCCTTCCCATAACTCTACCTTTGTTCGTACCAATGACTCTGCCTACTCAAATTTCTCTGCAACCGTAGGTGAGCACTTGTATCCTTCCGTTCCGTGTTCGGTCGAGTTTGGATCTGCAGTGAATCTAGGGGCCGGTCCGATTTGGTTCTATATCAATTCACTTTGTCTTGGCTAGCGAACAAGTCTATACCCAAGAACGCGGCCCAAGACCCGGGGTGTTGGGGGTACCGGCTTCCAGCTGGGTTTAGAGGTAGCTCCATGACAGCGGTGCATTAGAAGATGCATGTAAGCTTCACGTGACCAGGGTCTCCCGAACCAGCTGCTTGCTTTCAGACCAACACATGAGATACTTCCTAAAAATAGAGATTGTTTGGGTTTGTTTTATTTTTTTAAAGATTTTTGTTTATTTATTCATGAGAGACAGAAAGAGAGAGAGGCAGAGGGAGAAGCAGGCTCCCCACTCAGCAGAGAGCCCGATGTGGGACTCGATCCCAGGACCCCGGGATCATGACCTGAGCCGAAGGCAGATGCTTAACCATCTGAGCCACCCAGGCGCCCTGTTTGGGCTTTTAAATGGTGTATATTCTTTGGGGGAGGAAAAGCATACCCTTTGAATGAAAAATTGAAGTTGATTTTAAGATACCTCCCCAAAAATTTGATCTCTTACAAACATTAAAATCAGCGTGTCTTCTGTAGCTGGATATTTTTTTCTTTAATTTTTAGAAGCTGCCTTACAAAACACCCAGTAGAGTCAGGGTTAAATTATTATCTTACTTAATAACCTCAGAGCCCGTATGTTTCCTATTTTTCCCATGCAGCTCAAAGCAGAAGGGAGAGGTCTCCCCGAGCAGTGTAGAAAGTGAGTTAGGATAATTCAGGGGTCATGCCGTCAACGGTTTTCAGCACAACACCTAGCCTGGTGGCCCTCCTAGCTGTGAGGTGTTTGGCTTCCAAAATTCATTTTTCCAGTCAGACGGTCTTGTTGAGGGGTTTACACAGCCTAGCTCAATCATGCAGCTGTTAATTTTGCAATACATTTAATTTCATAACATATAGATCCCCCCACCCCCAGCTATAAATGAGATAAACAAAAAATAGAGAGTTTAAAATGGTAAGGAAGAACACGGAGGCCCGTTGGGTGGGTTATCCCCTTGACAGAGGCCGTTGGAAAGCCCGCGCTGGGGTCAGGCCCCGAGAGCTCAGCGCCCTGCCGTACGTCTTCCCCTGTGTGGCAGCTCAAGGGCAGTGGGCAGGTGCCTCTTCAGCAGAGGAGATATCTGGGCGACTTTGACCCCAATGAACAATAAATGCTTAATCACACTTGGTTTTTATAGTCTTCACTATCAGTCCTGTAAACCATTTACCCCACACTCACACCATCAGGGACGTTTGCCATGGGAATGGGGCCAGCGGGCACCAACGGGGGCTCATGGCCACTTCGCCTGGAGCTAGCAGGCCCCGCCGGGATTTTCTCCCAGAGTCTGAGCATGGATTCTTGCAGAATTGTAGGTTCCCACGTCTAGGATTAGGGGCTTCCAATGAGAGCTCACAGGGAGAAAGAGTTTATTTAGGTGGTCTTCAAGCTCAAACATGTACCTAAGCGTTTCACTTAGAAGATGGGCAGGAGGCGCTGCTGAAGCCTGTGGACGGAGCTGAAGTTCGGGACAGTAGGAGGCTGTCACCTGGGAACCAAGCCCCCGGCCGATGGAATAATTAGAGTGTCGTTACAGTATGGTGCATAGTACATACAAATACAGGAGTAATTGATGACAAAATATTAATACGACCAATTTATTATTTAATAGTCACATCTTGTTATATGATTTTTAACTTAACTAGGACTAAATATTAAATATGAAGCATTAATATTAATATATAGGATACATAGTATTATAAACATAAATAATACAGTGTGTTGATGTGTAAGTTGTTTATAAGTCTGATGATCACTGATGCCCGATGTTGTCGCTCTTCTTACGTAGACATCGTGGAGGGGAAGGTCAACAAGGGCATTTACCTCAAAGAGGAGAAAGGAGTCACCCTTCTCTACTACGGGAGGTACAAAGCCTCCTGCATCAGCAGCCCAGCACAGTGTGACCCGGATGGTGAGTGGGGCACCGGCGGGTGGGGGTGCAACCCCGTGGTTGTGCAGAGCCTTTGTGGACACAGGGTGGTGGGTGGGAGGGGCGGCAGGGGAGGGGGTGCAGGAGCCTGGGATTCTAACCAGAGATATGTCCTGGACACTGAGAGCTAATACTGTCTTGAGGAGATGTGAGAGCAAACTATTTAATCTTGTAAAGAAAAACAAAAACCCGCCATAGAAATAGACACGGTGATGTCACATCGGGACTTGGACGGGGCCGTGGCCTCTGTGGGAAGTAAATTGGTGGTGTGGCTCCCACCACGTTATTTCTGACTCTGGGATGTTGACGGTGGCCCTGGGCAGGGCAAGCCTGTGACACTCCTGCTCTGGGCTGGTTTCTTTTATCCCCGGGCCTGGGGGCCGGTGGGGGGCCGCCCCTGCAGCGAGCCGTGGGCCCGTGGTGGGAAGTGCGCCCTGGACAAGGCACGCGTAGGCAGCAGAGGAGTTGGCAGGCTCTGCCCCTTTTCCCGTCCTCCTGTGAAAAGTGATCTGCTCTCCAGGATCAGAGGTCCAGACAACGGGTATCTGGGCCGCATTTCAAACCTCTGAAAAGTTGTCTGACGTCCAAATCAGCTTCAGGCCTTCAAGTTCCGTTACCCCGGGCAGAATGAGAATATTCATTTTGGGGGAAAAAAGAAAGAGTTTAACGCAAGCCTGTCTGAAAGCAAAGGGCGTTCGGACATCCAATGGCCTTCTCAAAACAATGTTGTGATGAACTTGTCATGCACAATTTTGGGACATATGGATTTCATTCCAAGAAAAACAAAAGCTTAACAAGGCAAAAACATGTCGGTGGGGGGGATATGTTTTGGACTTTGCAGAACCCAGAATATTTAGAAATGGTTTTGAGGTCCAAAACCACGGCCAGGTTTACAAACCCAGCGTCTGAGCCATTCTGGAGTTCGGACAGCCCTATAAACACATCAGGCTTGTTTGTTTCTCTAAATGAAAAACAGCCCGGGCTCAGCTGTGGCCACTAGGAGGGCCTGCGGGGCAGGAGGGCTGGGGGGCCCAGGCCCGCGGGGAGCGGCTTCTCTTGGGGGACAGGTTCCCCGCTGCTCTGGCTCCCGGCGGGGGATCTTAGGTCGTTCGGGAGGTAGGCGGTGTGGGTCCCCGGAACTGTGATGATGGGGGCACGTCCGGGACCACCAGCCCTTGCGGGGGCTCCCGTGAAGGGACCACGGGGGTCAGAGCTCTGGGAAGTTTCAGCTGAACTCCGAAACCACAGACTCGGGGCTCTGGGCTGGCTCCCGCCTGTGGCTGTGTTTGGCTTGGCAGGTATGGGGGCTACACAATGTTAACTAGCTGCCAATGTGGAAAAATAGAACTTCCATGTAAATATATGGATTTCCAGTTTCTCTTGAGAAACCACCCCTTCCCCCTGCTGACTCTGGTTGGATAACTGCGTAGCAGCCCCCGTTGTCATGGACACTGTCCCCCAGGCCATCAGGCCCTCCTGGGCCCTTGCCATCTGGGTGCCCGCGGGACACAGAGCATGGTCAGAGCACAGGCTCCGGTCCCAGTTCTCCTGTCTGCGTGACCTCGTGCAACCGACCCCTGAGTCCGTGTTTGTCAAACGGGTCAGTGGCAGTCCTTCCTCACGAGGCTGCTGTGGAGCTGGAAGGAGCCACCGGGCTCCTGGCAGGTGCAGCCCTGCTGGGACGGGCCCCCTCGGTGATGGCCCCGCGAGAAGGTTTGCAGCCTCGGCTCCTCTTGCCAGGGCATCCGTCCCAACGAGAACCCCAGCTTGCCTGCTTGGAGAGCAACCCCCCCACCCCAGGGGGACTGACCCACAGTAACGACCCAGCATTATCGATGGCTGACCATGTGACTATCACGGGACCAATCTCATTACACGTATTAGCTCATTCATCCTCAAAAAGAGTGAGACAGACAAGAGCGTGGGGCGGCAGGCAGAGCCGCCAAGTTTGGCTTCATGTCCCCTCCGATAGCGGCTTCTTGTGTGCTGGAGTTGGCTGGAGCCGTTCAAACCATCGTGCGGCCCCTTTCTTTACAGTAGGGCCGGATATAAAATGAAGCCAGGAAGCCTTACATCACCCTTGGCTCCGGGAGATGGGGCTGGCATGAGGCTTCCTGCAGATACCGACGAAGGTTGGGCATTTCTCAGTCTGCACCCCTCTGTCTGCATGTCTGCTTCCCGGGGACAGGGAGCCGAGCACGCGTGACATCCGAGCACCACGGTGTGCGCCCCCACGTGTATCCTGCGCTCAGGCAGTTTCCCTGCAGCGGGTGTGAGCATGCATTTCTGGGTTCCAGATAAACAAGAGTGCAGGCAAAGTCTGCCCAGCACTTTCCAAATTAACGTCCCTGCAGCACACCCAGTGTGTGGGACGATTTCAGGTGATGCCGGGCAATTAGAGACATTAATGGCTATGTTTTTATCTGAACACAGATAGCTCATCAGAAATGTGATTTCTGGGCGCCTGGGTGACTCAGTCGTTAAGCGTCTGCCTTCGGCTCAGGGCATGATCCCAGGGTCCTGGGATCGAGCCCCGCCTCAGGCTCCCTGCTCGGCAGGGAGCCTGCTTCTCCCTCTCCCTCTGTCTGCTGCTCTGCCTACTTGGGCTTGCTCTCTGTTAAAAAAAAAAAAAAAAAAAAAAAAATCTTTAAAAAAAAAATGTGCTTTCCTAGCTACAGTTTAGGAAGAGACTTCAGTAAGTAATGAGCTTTAAAAACGGGTGGACTATGAGAACAATGTCGGTAATGATGGGAGGAAAGGGGTGGTCAGGTATGAAGGATTCGGGGACCTGAGATGTGGGGTCTTTCCCGATACATCCATCCCATCCTCCTCCACATGTTTGTCTCTGTTTCTCTAGGGGTTTTTTGGTGGTATTAGTGGACTCAGGCGTATAAGCCATTACTTTTATGATAAAAACTAACATTAAAATGAAGAGCGACCTTCCCCGCTCCCTGTCCACCTGGTCAACTATTTTTATATTTCTTATTTCTAAATTCTCTTGTGGTCCCGATTCATGGTTTTGGCTGATTTTTTGGGAAAAAAAAAAAAAGACATTTTTAGGAGCAGAGTTGAAGTCTGAGTTTTTCAAAAAGGAGTAAACAGCTGAGCAGCTGAGCCGCCGCCCCATGCGCGCCCTCGGCCAGGCCGCCCACCACCATTTCCTGCGCCCACGGCCGCTCCTGCTGGACCCGATCTCCATCTGCTCTCCGCCTTCCTGCATTTCTGTCAGCTCACGGGGGTCCTCCCTCTTGGCAAACGGTGCCTGCTGGGGAAGTTTTTCATGGGCACTGGGTGCAAGCTGGGGAAGCTTTTGAGGATCTTTGAAGGGAAGAAGTCTATTTGGATGCCTGGCCATTCTTGGACGTGAAGCTAAGGAAACACAGTCTGTGTTCCTGAAGGACGAGGTGTCTGTCCTTCATTCCCTACAAGCTGCGAGTGCGCACGTGGGGAAACTCGGCGCAGGGAGGGATCCTTCCTGGAATGTTCTAGCACCTGGTTTCACCCACATGTAGACCTTGAGGGCTCAGCTCAGGTGTTCCTTCCAGACAGGTGAGCCCCTCTGTCTGCGCTCCCGTGGCTCACTGCACGTTCCTCTCCAGCTCGTGCACGGCGGGTGATGGCCTATTCGTCATCCGTCTTCCCTGCACAGGGGCAGCTCTGTGAGGCTGGGGACTGTGTCAGTCTTGGTCACCGCGGTATTTTCGGGGATGAAAACCAGCATTATAGATGCTTCCTACGTGTCACTGAGCAGATGCATCTAGTCAGGCTTTCGGATGCTCCAATCCCTTCAGATGCTTCTCCATCGTGTTTGACGGGCTGCTCGCTGCTCCGAAAGCAGAGCTTCGTTCTGTCTTCGTTCTCCTCCGACCTGTAGAAGTTCTCTCTGACCTTGGACCACTTCCACCTGGAGTGACTTCCTCCCATTACGTCTGACGCCAGTTCAATTCTAAATCACGTCGGCTGCTCTCAGAAAAGGCGCTCTTGCTGGTGTACTCACCCGCTTAGCTTTGCTCCCTGGTCCACGGGCCCCCAGTTTTCCGCCCCCGCACAGAACTTCCTCCGCATGTAAACACCGGGACGGCCACCAAAGCCCCATAGCAGCACCTGCAATTCCTTCCCAGCCTTGAGGTGACTACTCCCCCTTTGTATGAGGTTACTAAATCCAAGAGGCTGCCAGTAAAATGCTCAGCTAGTTGCAGGATGGAGTTTCAGGAAAGAAATTTCCAGAGGCGTCTGGTGGACGCAGGCCGGGCGTGGATCCAGCCGCCATCTTCCTGGGACGGTCTGGGGTTACGGGGATGTTGGAGTGTGTGGAGCGGATGGTCCTCTGGGGAGTATTCACCCGTACGCTCACGTTACAGATGGGGAAACCGAGGCGCAGAGGCTCGCGAGACCTGCCAGAGCTGCACACTGATTTAGGGCAGTGAGTCTGAGTGTCGTTTATCAACCACGGGCAGCAGGGTCACTTGCAGAGATGGTTGAGAGTCGAAGTCCTCGGGCTCCAGTCCAGGACCTACTGACTCCAAATCTCCATGGACGAGGCCCGGGAGCCCGTATTTTTAGGCAGGACCTCCAGGTGATTCTCATGGACCCTGTCCCCAAATTGGCCACGGCTGACCATCCCACAAATGTATTTTGTTTCGTAGTAGTAGGTGGGTCCTCTTGGTGGTTTTTATATTTTAATGAGCTTTCTAAACTGTTTTTAGCCGAATATCCCAGCTCGGGAAATTTGCAGGAACAGCCTCCCACGGTGCTTTAAATAAATTTTTTAAAATTAATATCCAACTCCTATATGAGACATTTCAGTTAAAAAAAACTATACTTTCGACTTCTCTTGAAAAAAATTAGAAAATCTAGCAGTACTCCCACGCACCGGGTGGCAGGTGGTTGGGGTTGAGGGTTTCCAGGGATAGGTCGTACCGTGCTGACCTCCTGGGTCCCCGACAGTCTCTGCTGCCTTCTGGGCTGGTTGGCATGCGCCA